ACCATGTCTTGATCCTTTTTAAATAATAAATCTTTATATGTCAACCAAAGTTGTCCTCATCTTTAACTCTTCTTTAAAAAAGCCTCTTGGGTTGAAACCCATAGAAGGGATTTTATTAGAAAATTTCCAATGTAATTTAATCCATACCTTAATCAATGCATTCCTTATGAAATGGTGACAAAAATCTTTATTATCCTTAACCTGGCACCAATTTGGACGTAATTTGGGCAAATCTGGGCATGTTTGCTTGTTTTTGCAGGAATATCCAGGATGCCACCCTGCGAAGTGTTGTCGTTTTGTGCCTTCAAGTCATTTCCGATTTACAGTAACCGCAAAGCGAACTTGTCATGGGTTTTTCTTGGCAAGGTTTGTTCAGAGGAGGTTTGCCACTGCGTTCCCTGGAGGCTGAGAGAGTGTGACTCGCCCAAGGTCACCCAGTGGGTTTCATGGCCAATCTGGGAATTGAACCAAGTGTTGTAGTCCAATGCTCAAACCACTATGTCACGCAGGCTTCCAAGGCAATATATCACGGGTGAAATCATTGGAAACATAAAAATGCAATGCAAAAAAAACTTTTAAAAAACAGACTTTAAAATCCTCTTTAAAAACCACAGGCCTTTAAGACTATAACGGGATTTTTAAAGTCTGTTTTTAAATGTTTTTAGTCGTGCGTTTAATGTTTCAACCATGATTGTTCTTGTTGTTCTGTGCCTTCAAGTTATTTACTTATGGAAAGGTTTTATGGCAATATTTATTCAGGGTTGGTTTTTGTATTTTTTTTTGGCCTTTGCTTTCCCTGAGGCTGAGAGAGTGTGACTTGCCTTGGGAGCCCAGGGGGGTTGAGAGCATTATCATTATCAAACAACAACAACAAAAAGATTAAATAAGTGAGGAAAGGAAGTAATCTTGTTTATTGTTTGTAATGTTAAGTTTTGTTGTGTCATAATATGTATGTTAGTACACTGTTTGTTTAAGTGTTTAATTGTTTTTTAATCTGTTATTTTGAAACTTAAGAAAAATTCATTGAGAAACAAAACAAAATTATCATCATCATCATCATCACTATCATTTCTTCATATAGTGCTATTGATGGTCCTTTACAACAGAATAAGATATTTATAAGTACTTTAGTATAAAATACTAAAATGCAATACTAAAAATGCAACAGTAAAATACAATACAGTACAAAAAAAAGCTGCATACACACAAGTAGACAAATGCCTCAAATAAACATATTAAAGCTTCTAATGGACGGCAGGCAGCCTGGAGAACACACTTGTCATTTAAATGCACTCACGCATGCACCATATTGTCTGATTTCCAAAGGAGCTGTTTAATCTAATTTTTAATTTAGCTGATTTTTGCTTCTATCCAGAAGGTGGATGAAAAGCAGAGTAGAGGGTGAGCCCTGGCACCAGAACTTCTATGAGGGAAGGTGGAAGCTACCTATGGCTGCATCTGCACTGCAGAAATAATCCAGTTTCACATCACTTTAACTACCTATGGAAGTTCCTATGGAATCCTGGGGTACGTAATTTATTGTGGCACCAGAGTAATTTGACAAAGAAGGCTCAATGTCTCATAGAACTACAGTCCCCAGAATTCCTTAGCATTGAGCCATGGCAGTTAAAGCGGTGTCAGACTGGGTTATTTCTGCAGTGTGCAGGTGCAACTTTAAATAATAATAACAACAACAACAACAACAACTGTTGCAGAGTCTGGAGCGACAAACTGCAAATGGTAGCAAGCTAGAGCTAGCATAGTGTAGTGGTTTGAACATTGGACTACGACTCTGGAGTCCTGGGTTTGAATCCCTGCTCAGCTGTAGAAACTCACTGGGTGACATGGAGCAAGGCGCACTCTCTCAGCCTCAGAGGAAGGTAAAGGGAAAACCCCCACTGAACAAATTCTGCCAAGAAAACACTGGGATAGTTTCACCTTAGGGTCACCATAAATAACTAGAAGATACACAAACAACAGCAACAACAACGACAACTGCTCTCCTAAGTGAGCTGGGCAATTGCACAGATTCCTTTCCTCTTGCCTTGAGAGTGAGTCCTGCAAACCTGGAGAATTTCCACTTTTGGTTTCTTTTAAATTAGGGCTGCCAGAATGAAAAGTGGAGAGGGCTCCTGTCCCTTTAATAATGGCTTTGCAAAAGGGAATTTCAGCAGGTGTTGCTTGTTACCTGGTTGCATGACAGGCAGCACCTGCTGAAATCCCCTCTTCTGTAAGCCATTAAAAATATAAGAGTCATCTCCAGTTTTCAGTCTAAATGTATTTTTTTCCTTTAAAAATGTTTTTTAGCTTTGAACAGAATTGTGGTTTAACCTTCTTTTAACTTTTGTGTTAATAGTTTTTAGTTGTATTTTGTTTTAAATGGTTGCAAGCCAGTGTCGTGTAATGGTTTGAGTGTTGGACTACGACCTTGGAGACCAGGGTTTGATTTCCCGCTCAGCCACGAAACCCACTGCTTGATCTTGGGTAAGTCACACTGTCTCAGCCTCAGGGGAAGGCAAAGGTAAATCTCTTCTGAACAAATCAGGCCAAGAAAACCCCATGATAGGTTTTCCTTAAGGTCACCATAAATTGGGAATGCCTTGAAGGCACACAACAACAACAATGGGAAAGTCACATGCTCTCGGCTTCAGGGGAAGGCAATGGCAAACCTCCTCTCAATAAATCTGACCAAGAAAACCCCATGCTAGGGTCATTTTAGGATTGCCATAAATTGAGAATGACTTGAAGGCACACAACAACCACAACAACAACATTTTGCAAGTCAAATGCTCTCAGACTCAGGGGAAGGCAATGGCAAATCTCCTCTGAATCTGACCAATAGATGCATTATGCATCTGAGGAAGTAGACCGAAGTCTACGAAAGCTCGTGCTGCCAA